TCTTTCTTTCTTTCTTTCTTTCTTTCTTTCTTTCTTTCTTTCTTTCTCTCTCTCTCTCTCTCTTCCTCCCTCCCTCCCTCCTTCCCTCCCTCCTTCCTTCCTTCCTTCCTTTTCCTTTTCCTTTTTTTCTTTTTGGTTTTTTGAGACGGGGTTTCTCTGGGTAGCCTTGGCAGTCCTGGACTTGCTTTGTGGACCACGCTGGCCTCGAACTTAAAGATCCATTTGCCTCTGCTTCCCTGAGGGCTGGGATTATAGGCATTGTCCTACCATGCCTGGACAACTCACTAATTTTTTTTTTTTAAGTGCTTAAATCTTTAAAGAAAATTTTTGAAGGAATATTTAAGTAAAACAAGTTGAGAAATAATTTTACTAGAAAACCATGGGCTGCCAATGGCAATGTTTGGTCCTGCAGTTTCCACTGGCCTCTCAAAGCCTAGCAGAGAACAAAAGAATACCATTTGTCACTAAAAAATATTTACAGTTAAATTTATTTTTTAAGAAATCTCACAAATAGAGTTCTGAACAACTTTCTTAGGCATTTTCATAACCTATCAAATTAGCTGGAAATTCTGTGATTGTAGAGTGGTTATGCGTAAATTTTTAACCATTAGCTTTTTACTTACCGGTTTTCTCATGATAGTTAGAAAGCTCGGGATATAGTTTATATTCGTTTCCATTGCCTGTTTAAAAAAAAATAAAATGGGGGAGATTTAAATGCTTATTACAGTACACAAAGCGTACAAAACCATCAAATCCTGACCTTGTTAAAGGTCTACACGATTGGGCCAGGCTATAAACTGAGAGATGCCTAAATATCCTACAAAAGGCCACATACAAGGCGCAGGTAGCTGAAGTGCCTGATACTAGTCCATGGTCCATGTACATCTCTTCCGGAAGCAACCAAAGGACACCTTAGGAAGACAGGTGACAGCTCCACACAGGGATCTCTAAATGTTCTGTCTTGCTCAAACCCTAAGATAATTTCAGACATCACACATGGGCCACCGCACAGCTTCTGATAGATACCAGAAGTTCAGGATGAATTTAAACAGCCATAAGGGGTATGCCGGCAAAGTATTAAGAATACCAATTAGTGATCTGAATCTCACTCTGGACGATTAAAGAAAACCAATTGGTCTTTCGCAGAAAGCATGTACAGCTCCTACTTTCAGCTTTTAAACCATATTTTCATGCTCTTAGCTGGGCTGGCTCTGAGGAGCTCCTCCATGAGCTGGAGTCTGGAAACTACCTTCTCTTCATATGCACTGGCAGCCTCATGCCCTCGGAGGACATAAACACACTATGGAGCTCATGAATGTAAAGACACAGAAAAGGCTGTCAGCACAGGAGGGAAAGTACAGGTATCCTAGAAGAACCTACGTGAAGAAACTAAATAAAAACAATTTGGGTAGATTACCAGATATTAGACAAACATATGCCAACTAAGATTTCCTCAAGTCTGAAATGGAAATAGGAACCATGATTTTACTGTACCAGGAAAGAAATATAAAAGAAAAGACAAAAACAAAATTTTACTGAAAGACATGAAATAACATCTCCACAAATAGAAAACATAGCAAGGGCCAATTATGATACAGTGCAAATGAATATACAAACAAGATGATAGATGAAATCCAAATGTTACAGGGGAACAAAGGTATTTAACGTTGTTCCAGCTTAGGTATTGAGACAGGAAGGAAGAACTGATAAAATGATTTAAAAGTATTTGAAAAATAAGTATTCCTCAATCAGATCTAAAAACGATCACAAAAAACTCGGAGGAACTGAAAACAATATTTCAACAGAAGGTAGAAGATCTCCTTAGTCATGACTTTAAAAAAATTTCTAGCGGTACAGACACGCGTGTCTCCGCCTTTAAGTAGGCTTCAGCCCAGGCATGCAGGCATGGTTCAATATACGGAAATCCATCAATGTGATCCACCACATAAACAAACTGGAGGAGAAAAATCACATGATCATCTCCTTAGATGCTGAAAAGGCATTTGACAAAATCCAACATCCATGTTTAAAGTCTTGGAGAGATCAGGGATACAAGGCACATACCTGAACATAGTAAAGGCAATATACAGCAAGCCTATAGCCAATATCAAACTCAATGGAGAGAAACTTAAATCAATCCCACTGAAATCAGGGACAAGGCAAGGCTGCCCACTCTCTCCATGTCTCTTCAACATAGTTCTGGAAGTCCTTGCTAGAGCAATAAGACAATTAAAGGAGATCAAGGGGATACAAATTGGAAAGGAAGAAGTCAAAGTATCACTATTTGCAGATGATATCATAGTATACCTGAGTGATCTAAAAAATTCTACTAGGGAACTCCTACAGCTGATTAAAACCTTCAGCAAAGTGGTTATAATATAATATAATATAATATAATATAATATAATATAATATAATATAAAATTAACTCAAAAAAAGTCAGTAGCCCTCCTGTATACAAAAGACAAAAGGGCCGAGAAAGAAATTAGGGAAACAACATCCTTCACAATAGCCACAAGGGACATAAAGTACCTTGGTGTGAACCTAACCAAGCAAGTCAAAGACTTATATGAAAAAAATTTCCAGTGTCTAAAGAAAGAATTAGAAGAAGATATGAGAAGATGGAAAGATCTCCCATGCTCATGGCTTGGCAGGATTAACATAGTAAAAATGGCCATTTTACCAAAAGCAATCTACAGATCAATGCAGTTCCCATCAAATTACCCACACAATTCTTTACAGACCTGGAAAGAAAAATTCTCACCTTCATATGGAAGAACAAGAAACCCAGAATTGCTAAAACAATTCTCTACAGTAAAAGATCTTCAGGAGGTATCTCCATCCCTGATCTTAAGCTGTACTATAGAGCAACAGTTATAAAAACTGCATGGTACTGGCATAGAAACAGACTGGTCAATCAATGGAATCAAATAGAAGACCCTGAAATAAATCCACATACTTATGGACATCTGATTTTTGACAAAGATGCCAAAACCATTCAATGGAAAAAAGACAGCATCTTCAATAAATGGTGCTGGTCTAACTGGATGTCTACATGTAAAAATATGCAAATAGATCCATACTTATCACCCTGCACAAAACTGAAGTCCAAGTGGATCAAAGACCTCAATATAAAATCAGACACACTAAACCGCTTAGAAGAAAAAGTGGGGAAGAGCCTGGAACTCATTGGCACAGGAGATAACTTCCTGAATAGAACACCAACAGCATAGGCTCTAAGAGCAACAATCAATAAATGGGACCTCATGAAACTGAAAACCTTCTGTAAAGCAAAAGACACTGTTTTCAGAACAAAACGACTGCCTACAGATTGGGAAAGGATCTTCACCAACCCTATATCTGACAGAGGACTAATATCCAGTATATATAAAGAACTAAAGAAGTTAAACAGAAAAAAAAATCAAGTAATCCAATTAAAAAATGGAGTACAGAGCTAAACAGAGAATTCTCAATAGAGGAATATCGAATTGCAGAGAAATTCCAAGTGGTTAAACAACACTAAAAATGTTTGAGAAAGCCATAGGGAAACATATTCATTTACACACATGCACACACCAAGGACACATATTTACAGTTTAAATGAAGTTATGCCACTTGGGAGCAGGAGCGATCCCTCCAAGAGCCATTGACCTGCTAACCAATCCCAATGCTAGGCATGGGAATCTTCTCCACTTGTTGGCTGGGGGAGTCCAAGAGCCTCCTAAACATTCCAGGCTATTTTGCTCCTGTTGCTTTCTAGAACTTAAAGGTAAGGCCCTATTGCTGAAGACACCACACTCTGGACACAGGACTTGGAAGAACTGAGCTGGAACTGACCTACTAAACTCCTTCCTGAGGTTCTATGCAAACTGCCAAGGAGAAAAGTAATGGAGGTCTGCCTGTCTCTACAGTCTATGCACTAAAACAATGACCACCCTGTAAGAGATCCCCATAGTGCAACAGTGGCACTTGCAACCAGTGGTAACTAAAAGCCATCTACCTGGACTTAAGCCTTGCTCAGTAGGTGGGAATTCAGGCCTGGGACTGGAGACCCGGTCAACTACCCATATATAGTGAGGCCATGGACCTTACAGATGAGCCTATTGTTTCTACTCTTCCAAATCAGTATAATTTTTCACTGCATTCTAAATACTTATCTTCATGCCCATAGATAAATACAGCTCTTGTTACTCAGCAAAGCTTCTTTTTGCAGCAGATAGAAACCATTATAGAGACGGCCACTCCTGGACAAGTGACTGTGGAGGTTCTCAGTCCTAGCTAATAAATCTATAATACAAACCCTGCAAACAACGCACTGAAAACATCATGGGAGAAAGGATAGAAAGATTCTACACATACACAATGAAAAAGATGGGAGGGATATAAAAATTGTACATATATACAACACACATATATGCATATATACATTCACACACCTATTTCCTCTTTGATGAAAATTAAAGAGGAAGAGGTTATAAATTTGAAAAGAAAATATCTTATGAATAAGAGAAGTCTTCACAAATTATGACAGTGAAAACTCATATGAAAGCATATATTATGGCTTAGAAGATGGTGAACATTTATTTATTTTTCTCTTAAATGCTCACTATTTCTTCTATTTGATATTGAAATATAACAGTGTTACCTGCTTTCTTAATGTTAGTAATTACTTAAGTACTATTATATTTAAACTGCAACAGAAGCACTTACTCTGGGAGCCAGCATTCGGCTGGACAGGTGGCAGGTGTTGCTGTGGTCTTGATGATGGTTTTGGGGGTAATTCTTTAGCCTGGGAGGCACAGGAATAAATACACAAAAAATTAAAAATCGACTTTTTACATACAAAGATAGGACAACTTTGCCTCTAACCTGTTTATTTGGCAGGGTTCATTCTCGGCATTTATTAACTTGGTTCCCAGAAACTCACGTGTATGGTGCAGGACTGGATGTGAGACTCTGATGTGGGTTAATCTAGTACACTTTGCACGTGGGCCCTCCCCTCTGACAGGTGTGTTGTCTAGTACACGCTTGCACCTGAATCCCTCCCCCTCTGACAACTGTATGTGGTCTGGAGGGGGCTGTAAGTCCAGTGATATGGTCACAGGGAAGAGACAGCAGAGAAAAGCAGTGATAATTTAACTTTTATATTTCAATTTCACTCTGCACAAAAGGGATCCAGGAGAGATCAAAGAAAGAAAGGCACAACCAGTGTTGGTTCTCTAACATTACCAGATTTCATTCTAAGAGACAAACAATTACAGAAGACAAGCTGCTCTTAAAATCTGTACAATGTCACAACTCCAGGTCATTTTTGAAGACTTTACATAAATGAATCATAAAGGAAGTTCTCCACCCCTGGGAACTCCCTATCAGAAACAGTGTCCTAAGTCAGAACCCCTCTTGTATCCACTGAGAAAAACAGGAAATCTTGCCACAGCACCTTTCTCTGCTCCCGTGCTACTTTTCTCAAATTGATGCGTTGTCCTTCACTTTCATACTTTTCAGTAAAGGAATCAAGAATTTCATAAAGATCTCCTGCTTGAGCAGGCCGTGGAACATCTCCAAATAAAATGTCATAGGCTCGAATGTCTTGACAGTAAAATCTAGCAAATAAAAAATTAAGAACATGTCTGGAACATACATATTTGCTTTTGGAGGTAAATGTAGCACATTCAGATAAATATGTAATCATGCTTATGAAATACATCATATACCACAAGTCTTTTTCCATGTCTAAGAACATTGATATGTACATGTCTTCATACAAAAAGCATGTCACATGTACACACATTTGTATAGAAATACATAAACATATAAAGCCTCCATAAGCTTTATCTTTATGCTTTCTATAAATCCTATGCATAGCTTTATGATTTCTTTAAAATGTTTGTTTTATGAAATGAAAGTTTTGCCTTGCAAATTTGGAAGACCTGAAGTTCATAAGGGATTTTGCTGCGCTTATGGAGAAAAGTGCCTAAGACCTAGAATTAGGAGTTTCTAAAATCATTCTCAAATTCATGAAACCAGAAATGGACAGACACACCACTCGTGATTCTATATGATGAAGACTTTTGCAAACCTTAATTTTCCTCATTCAGACTAGTCCTGGCATGTGCAAGGTAGCACTTTGATGTTGTATTCTTCAGAAAATTGGGGTGAGCCTGGGAGGAGCATTCACTCTCTCAGTGGGGTATCTGTCCCTGTATCACTAAGGCACTGGCCCCCTTGGGCTTGTGATTCTGGAGTCTGTTGGTTTGATTTCTAAGAATCACTTGAGGAAAAACTATTCAGATACAAGATTAAAGAAGCTCTGAGACAGCAACAAGTATTTTAAAAATCAAATTGGATTTTGAATCAAAATTGGACTCTATTTAGTATGAGAGAAGACAAATCCAGAGTGTCATGATAAGAAATCCTTCACAGTGAGGCACTTCTGACTGACTCACAAGATTATTTGCTGTGCTCACCACAAGGAATGATAATGTCATATTGTCACCTCGCTGAACACTGCCTGGCCATCAACTCATGATTATACTTATTATAATGCCAAGCAGAAATAAAACACGTTTGCAATTGAATATTGTCATTATTGTTGTCTTATTTGGCAAGAGAAGACTACAGAGGAACAGGAGGTAGTTGAAAAGCATTAGTAAAATAAAATGTAACAGTTTTGTTTATTTTTTCCAAGTTTTATTTTCATAAGCATATACTACTTCTCAAAACTTAAAAATTATTTTATTATATTTTACGTGTTTTGCCTGGGTCTGTCTATGCACACCTCATGCCCACCTGGTGCCTTCTAAGGTAAGAAGAAAGCATCTTATCTCTTAGAGCTAGAATTATGTTGGTGGTTGTAAGCTACCATGTGGGTGCTGGGAAACAAACCTAGGTCCTCTATAAGGGCGACAAGTGCTCTTAAGTGCTGAGGCATCTCCTCAGCCCCAAGCAATACCAACTTCATCTTAAAGGTTTTAAATATAGACCCTGATGTATTTGATTGATAATATAAATGTAACTGTAAACTCCTAAACCATGACGAATTTTGAAATATTATCTTCTCACCACACACTTTTAACATAATCAAAGTAACTCTGTACGAACTTACTTCCGGTTAGTTTCTTTCCTTTCGATCAAACAGCTGCCTTCCAGGGAAATGCCAGCAAAGAGGCCCCGGGATTTGCAGTAAGTGAAGACGGCCGCGGAGCTCCTCAGGGCCACGTTTCCTTCCAGGTTCCTACAAAAGACGGCAGAACCAAAATGACTGCTCATCATGGAGCTTAGCCATAAGGCCTGTCTTCCTAGGCCACGGTTTTCTTTGGCTTAGCTGGAGTTTTCATGTGGTTTGATGAGAAGGCAGCTGTGGCAAAACATATCACATTGAACTTCTGTAGAAGGGCTGAGAGCCGGAGTGATGACACTGGAGAGAGAGATCTGCAAGCTAGCCCTCTCAGCCAGAGCACAGTGCTGAGAGTGTGGGTTCTTTTTACACGGGGCAGTTCAGATGCTTCACTGTCTAGCTTCCATAAATAGGCAGCACTTGAAAGTCTCTAGCATGATTCCAACCCAACAACAGTTTCATTAGGTGTTATAAGCACTGCTCAATAAGACTCAACCATTTCACGTTCATGATTTAGTTTAAGAAAAGCTTTTTTCAATTCTAGAACACTGATAACCTTTATCAGTTAGTAAAATTTGACTACACTGAGCTTCCTCAAGACTACAGAAAATTTTATGTCAATTCAACAGAAAGCATGGCCTGTGCTTGTGAAAAACTTCCATTTTTTTTTCTTGTGTGTTCTGGGCTCAGAGTTTACTTCCCTCACTGTTTTCTTTTTCTTCCTTACTTTTGTAAATTTCTTGTTTAAGAGACCTTTACTCATCTGGAAATTGTAGAAATCATGTTTTTTCATTTTACTTCAAATTTCTTTTTAGTGTAAAAAAAAAAAAACTATGACATTTTTCATCTTAATGATTCAGAATGCGTTTACTCACCTGCCTAACGGCCCAACTGCTACAGTAAAATTCCCTCCAAGTGTCAGGTTTCCACCCTTTGCAAAGGCTTCTACTGCTCTGTCATAATTCAGAATTATCACCAAATCCGATACCTGAAATAAAGAAACCCACTCATTTATAAATAGCCATACTGCCTGATGTAGTGGTAAACACCTTTAATCCTAACACTTGGGAGGCACAGGCAGGTGTATCTCTGTGTGTTCAAGGCCATCTCGGTCTACACATCAAATGCCAGGCTACTAGGTAGTCTACTGTCTCAACAAACAATACCCCAACACAAGAAGAAAAAAAAAAAAAAGCCATCCCTAAATATTGCATAAAATACACGCTGACTTAAACTCAGCTATACCATACATAATGTAAACTTTCAACATAGACAGGAAACCCGATATGAAGGGGATGCCAGTCCTCTGGGTAGATAAAGCCAGAAACTGCTTTCGTAAGGGTGATTATGGCCAATACCTGTGAGCCATCCAGCCTTCAGTAATCTCCTTTATCCCTCCCAACAACAGTTAGTGAGGCTGATAATGTGCCAATGAGCCTGTACATCATCACACTGATAACCAGAAGAGATCAAAAAAGGTGAAGACCAAACATCTTCTGATCCCAAAATAAACTTCTACAAAATCTAGTCTCATGGAATGCAGAGCTGGGACATAACATGAGGCTTCATGTCTGAGGTAACTTCTACCCTGTACATAGCTTGCATAAACTTAACAACACTGGATATTTCAGTGGTGTTTGTTGGCTTCCATTAGTAATGTCTAAGGCAGTGATTTATTTTTTTCTCTAAACAAGAATAAAAATTATAAGACTCAGGTGAATGCTTAGGTCAATACAACATAAGAATTTTTCTTTCAAATTCATAATGGCCACAGGAAGTGAAAAAGAGCATCACTCTCATGTGTGACACAGGGGAGACTGCAGTGCTGACGCCACATTCCCTCCCCCTTCAGTGTGATACGTTAGGTGGCATACTGATCTTGGGACCCTGAGTCTTAACACAGAACCTACCTCACCCAACTGTCATGAGGATCAGATACACACATCCTCTGTATCTGTAATGTTGAAGGCATAAGGGCAGGTGCTAAGAAACTGGGCTAAAATGGAAAATATTTGGGTGTGAACTCCACTAATTCTCAGTTGTGTAATCACGGGGGAAATGTTTCGATAGATGCTCAAAGCCTATCTCCTTCTTTGTGATGGTAGCATGTTCATTTAGTGAGGAAAAGAAATCACTTTTGAACCCTATATGGCCACATAACAGGCCAAGCAAATCCTAAAAGATGCCCTAACTCAAACAGTTCTTTAAACTTTTCTAAATGTTTTCTAGTCAATGTTTCATTTAATGTACAGAAAAACCTTGTCATAAAAAACATCCTTGATATAAGCAGTCCTTGATATCTTCATTTATTAATAAATGCCGAAGTCTTCTGAACTCTTCAATTCTTGCCAACTGTTCAGTGCAAAGTCATCACCACCAACCCCCAGCCCAATGGCAGTAAGAATGCCACTGTCCTAAACAGAAGGACTTTGGCCAAGTAAACAGAATGACTAAAGCCTAAAGGCAGAGTTCCTGTTTACCAGAAAAGCAGATCTCCTAAGGCCCATTTCTATTTGCCAAGAATCACCCTTAACCCTCCAGGAACTTCCCTTAACATTCCCCCAAAGGTCAACTTCCTTGGGCAAGAGCACCAGTCAATCCAGACAGCTTAGATCCCTCCTGTGCTGACTGCCATATGAAATCTGCTTTCTGCCATTTTCCCCATTACCCTCCACTCTCAGACATACAGCCTGGGTAGTTTGATCCCCAAAATCTCTGACCATAGACTGGCCTAGTTCAGTAGTTTCTCTCTATAATCACTTTAACTAACTACTCTTCTTCTTTTGATACTTTCAGAGCCACCTTTATTTTCTTTTTCCTCTTCACATACAGGACTTCTCAGACATTTTTTGCAGCCATAGTCACTTGATGTTGGCAGCTCATTGGTCCCTATCTGGCCATCGTACACTGGTTCAAAGGGCAGCTGAGGCAGCAGGCAGTTTCTTTAGGACACTGAACACTGTGATCTGGAAGCACGTTACAATGTCACCCCAGTATGTGTACCACACCACCTCTTTCTCCAAGGAGGCCTCATAATCCTAGAATGGCAGGTCCAGCTGATTGAAAATGGAGACATCACCACATTTATTCTGTGGACATGCTCTACTCCTGTGTGTGCTATGATTTTGAACATAACTCATCCCCAAAACTTGTCACGTTCATCCTTGTTTTTTAGGTTGTATGAGCCAACAATTTTGCACTCAATGGTTACTTCTTCACTGGTAGCACTAGATTCAAAGGCTGTCGACACCCAACATGCCATTTTCCCCATAATATGGAAAATACTTTTAAGTTTATAAAGTCCATGATCAGGATAAGTTGATATATTTGCTATGTTGTCATCATTTGTCACACATGCTATCTGTGGAACTCCTTCTGGGATTCATTTGATTATTCTGTTCATTTTCCCAAGAAGACAAGGTCATCCTTTGGAAATAGCAAAAGTCAGCATCATTCACACCACTGCACTCTTGAGGCAAGGAAACTGGAAACTGACAAGCATAATAATCTAGACCCTGCTGCCCAAAAAGTGCTCTGTCAGGACGGCCTGTGAGATTCTTTTGTTCATCTACAGAATGTGGCTTTAGGAACTTCTTCAGGTCTTTAGTGAACTTTTCATGAACACATGGCTTAGACATACTGTATGCATATTCCAAGGCAGTCAGTGGTTTTGGAAAAACCCGTAAGTCCTGGACTAGGAATCTAGTCTCAGTATTTCAGAACCTCATAATTCAGAGTCTGGAGCATGATCCACATTGTTAATGAGAAGAACACAGCTAAGAGCCCATAAAAAGGGAGACATAAGAGCAAGATCAGAGTGCTAATATTCTTCACCGGGGCCAGTTCCTCCATCCATGCCAGCCACATGCTTCTTCCTTCCTCCTCTTCATCTACCCCCAACTATTCTTCTTATTTGACATCTAGACAACTTTGGAGGATTACAGTCAAATAACAGGATGATTTAGCATTTCTTTATTGTTGTTTGCTTACTATAGTGTCTCATTCTGCAGCCAATGCTGGTCCTGAATTTACAATCTTCCTGTCTTGTTTTCCTGAAATAATAGGATTACAGGCCTGCTCCACTGTATCTGACAGCATTCCTTGTGTAAAATTAAGCACTTCCTGCAGTGATTATACAACCATGTCTCACAGGTACCTGGAGAAAACAAACCCCCCTTGCATTGTTTAGGACTCTCTCACACAAAAGATGTATATTTCTCTCCAGAAATGCTGCACTAGTTGTTGCATACTGTTTAGTGTTAAGTGCTATGGCTCTGAGGGGAAAGGTTTCCCCAATGGAAGTGTTGCAACTCTAAGAGAAAAAAATATCCTGGCAGTCTGGAGCCAAGGAATACAACAAAGTCACACTGCGCTACCAACCTCACACAAGAGATTTATTGGAAAAGACACAGACGGTGGCTGCCTCTGCTCAGGCGAGAAGCAGTGGGGAACTGAACAGAAGACAGGGTTTCTTGGGGGAGGAGTTTTCCAGGGTGAGATTTCCAGGGTGGGGTTGGTAGTATTTCAAGTCCTGAGCCTGGGGCAAGCCCAAGGGTTGGCGGGATATTAGGCTGTCAGATTTTGAACTCAGGGATTCATGGATTTTCAAGATCAGAAACTGGTGGGTTTTGATGGGTTTTCAAACCCGGAAGTAAGCTCAGACTTCTTACCCTGCACTTTGAACAACTCAGGACAGTCAAGTAAGGTAAAGAAACTGTGAGAGGCCACTTAGAAAAAGCCAGTCTTCTAATTTTCTATCTGTTCTGCATTTGGTTTCTCTGAAGTAAGAGTAAGAAGATCCTGTGTTCTTTTTGTGATGTCACTAGTGAAACAGGCAATAGCAAGGGCACATATTTCTAGAGCTGAAAATGAGAAGCAGAGAAGTCTTCCTGATGGAGGCTGGGCAATGGAGCAACAGTGAGACAGCAAAAGACAGCACTGGAGAATCTGATAAAAATTTGAATGTTTTTGTATTACAATTTAATTTAAAATGTACAAGTTTTTCAATTAAATAAATCCTTAAACATGAGCCCTAAAAACGACAGCCCCCAAAGTAGAATCTGAGGAAACGTTCTCAGGAGTCTATTCTCTGAGCTACTGTCTGGAAGCCACTTGGGATCTATGTCACTTCTATGGGTTGCTAAGGAGGTTTTGCAAAATCTCAGGATAGGCTCAGAGTAACATTTGACTGGTGGCAGCTAGCCTTCAATCCTGCCTCTGCGCACTGATAGGAGGCCTGGGTACTCTCCTTTTGCCTCCTGTATAACATTGAAATATTCCTTCCTACAGGAAGCTTCTTAAGCAGCAAGGTAAAGGCTCCTCCCTGGCAGAGTAAGCATAAAAGCTGAAAGTCCTCCTCAGATGGAAGGAAGCTGAGCTGCAAAGAGGACTCTTGGTGGCGAAAAGTTGATGCCAGGACTAACATTACTTTTTAAGTTTCAATTACTGTGCCTAAGAGGTCTATAAAACAAAAATACCTCTAGTCTGTACACTCCACTTGCCCTAAAACAGGTAACTTTCTGGAAGATAACAAGCCTTGTGTTTGTACATCAGTAAACTAGGTTGGTTGTCCTACTTGATCACATGCAGGTGGCAGGTACATGGAGAGTATGTCAGGTGGTGTGCTTGTCCTTGGCTGGACAAAGGCTGAAAGTACTTATTACCACTTCATCTCCCAACATGTTCAGAACAATGACACTTGACCTAGGGCTCAAGCAGGCTCACATAGGGTTGGAACAATGGGAGGGCACAGGGACTATAGAAAGGTTAGGAGGTTGTAAAAAGAGGACTGGGAGTTGTGGAAAGAAGAGATGGAGATTGTGGAAATAAGGGGTAGGGGTTAAAGGAAGAAGTGTGGGGACATCAGAACTGGAAGTCTGGGTAGCTCATCTGTGAAAAGAAAACTACCCGGAGAAGGTGCCAGAGGCATAACTGCTGGGAGTTCCACTTCCAAAGTTCCGAAGTGAAGGCTACAGTAAACAATAAGATGAAACCTTGAAGAGAACTGAAATGTTTTGTGTTTATGTTGTCTTGTAAATAAACAACAGTTAATATAGAAGGCCAAAGGCAGACGAGTTCACAAAAGGGAAAAAAGGAGAAGAGAGGAGAGGAGGGAGAGGGAAATGACCCCACAGATGTAAGCAGCAAAATAAGAGCACTAAAAAGCCTCAGTTATATCACGCTGTATTTGGGGTACCCTTAGGGTTGTGGCAATGGCGTAGACAGTCCACTTACCTCTATTCCTATTTCAAATCCTCCACCAAGCCCAGCTATCCCAATGGCTGAAGGTGCAGACCATTCTGATAAAAAAACAAAACAAAACAAAAACATTGTAACATATAAAATGTCTGTCATATGAGGAAAATAATACTTATTTTTCAAAAAACTCATGAATCCTCTACTTCAAGATCTTTTCAAAGTTAAAGTTTTTTTTTAAAGATATCGAGTATTCACCAAGAGTATTATACTTACAAACTCATGTAGCCCATGCTTTCCCTAGTAGCTCAACGTAAAACTAGACTATGACCTTATTATCCACTTAACATATACAATAATGATTTTAACTATTAATATTTTTAAAACTTAACTGCCTACGTTTGGGTCACAAGCCCATCATAGACATATGAGCTCAAGATTCAAGGGTTTGTTACAATCACTACCAGGGAAAAGCATATCATAGACATATGAGCTCAAAATTCAAGGGTTTGTTACAATCACTACCAGGGAAGGGTAACATAATCCTAATTTGCTGTCATCATAAGTTGTTTTGCCTCCTCTAGTGCAAAAAGAAGTTTCCTTTATATTTGTAAACTAAGCACAATAATTATATCTGGAGTTTAAAAGTTGATGTGTACTTTTCTGTATAGAAACAAATATAAAATTGCTATTTTTAGGTTGGTATTGAGAGTGCTTATCTCTAAATGACCTATGGTGACCTCCCTTTTCTGGAGAATATATCCTAGACAAGTATGACTGATACATATAAAATTAACCTGCCAGTCTTGGAAGAGTTTTGATAGCTACAGGAAGCAGTGCCTGACAAGCCCAAAGCTGCTTTCCACTTCTGTGCTAGGAACCATCTACCTTACAGACCTGTTCTCTGGGATCAGAAACTTGCCTTGCCTTATTTGGGCAGCCTTTCTGTTAGTTTCAGCGAGTGTATAGCTGCTTTTTCTGGAAGATGAGGGAAAGAAACTTAGCATTTGAGAACAATAGAAAAATGCAGTGGTTGAGAGCAGGGATGGGGAGGCTGGTAGAGACAGACCCTCACCTTTAAGCCTGTGGAAAGCACACTGCTCTGCAGAGCCTTCCTGTGGAAACCAGCCCTCCTCCAACAGCGATCCTCTCGGAAGGCTCTAAATCTGTGTTTGGAGTCGCTGCTGAGACTTATACCCTTAAGCATTTGGGCAATATTTCATAGAAAGAGTTTCATATTTTCTAACTTTAGAAGATTTAGGATTTCTCATTATTTTCAAATGTGACACTTTTTAAAAATTAACTGAGGTGACTACATGGTAAGATGTTTTTATTAAAGGGCCTACAGCAGGAAATTGACTGGTGGATGCTGCATTAGAGCTATACTGCACCCCAACCCCAAAGGCAACCTTGAACTATTCAAAGTAGACCCACAATTGTGGGAAGACAACCCTACTGGCTCTGGGGACACCTGTCGGGAAACAATGGAACTAACCTAGGGATGAAGAACATGTTTATCAATATCCATGCTTACTACCTGAAAGTATAAATGATTTCTGTTAAAAGAGTTATTGGCCAAACAGTGTATTCTCTTACATGAGGAACTACACAAGTCAAACTGAGAAGGCCCTTTAGTTGGTTCTGACATGTGACCAAGTGTTAAAAACTACTATAAGCATTAGTTCTTTGGATTCATTGCAAATGCCCTTTGAATAGTCTCAAGCTGGGAAGAGGGGGTAGGTCTTCACAAGTCTTCCAGAGCAACCAAGAAGTTTAGAGATGACATTCATAAACAGAAGAAACTGGCTTTCCCACAAATCTGAGGAGTAAGAACTCACATTTAACAAGAGAAAGGTGTGTGTATGTTCAAGAAAGTGTTCCATGGAAGGCCTACAAAATGTAATATAACATTGATATACCTTGAGTACCATGTGGTAATAATCTAAGGCTAGCTTTCTGAGTTGTTTCCTGACACAGACTACATGTTTGAAGAAGAAACCCCAAGGTAGATTCACTGGTCATACTCCTGATTGAGAGCGCCCAGGAGATTCGGGACACAAAGGATTTGAGGTCTCTAAAAGTATCAACTTACTTCCATCTGGAAGGCGTGCCAGCACAATCCCGCTGCCTCCCCTGGCTGTCACCAGAAACCCAGCTTTAATCACAGACAAAACGGCAAGACCTTTTGCTTTTGCGATCACATGGGCTGCAAACAAACAAAAGAGCAATGACTAAAAGCTTGTGACAGAGCTTTGCTAGCCGAGTCCATTATTTATTAATATGACAACAAAAGTAAGAGTTCATTACATGAGATGAGATTTATAAGTGAGTGCATCCACTAAGGAACTACCTCACTACAATGTGAATTTGCTTATGTGATAACTTGTCTTTCAAACTTTCTAAGACATCACTAGAAGGCAGTTTAAGCCCACAGGTGCTAGTATACATCTTTAATTCTAGAACCTGGAAAGTAGAAGCAAGGGGATCTCTGAGAAGTCAAGGCCAGCCTGGTCTACATAGTGAATTTCAAACTAACCAGGGCTAGTGGGACCCTGTCTATAAAAAGAAAGAAAGAAAGAAAGAAAAAAGTTTATATATCAACTATACTCTGAAACACACATATACAGAAAAGGTTTATACGTTCCTCTAGAAAATGGGTAATTTCTAATTTTACCATAGTAAAAGTCTTCCGGAAATCATGTTCCCTAGGACATGGTAAGGTCAGCACACATAACTTGGGGAACTTTCTTCTCTAGGAGGTAGAGGACAACAGTACCTTCCTGTGCATGCTTTTAAAACTGAGCATACTTCATATGCCAACTGACTTTTTTTTTTAATACATCACCTACTCAGATTCAGAGACAATAAAACACTAGTATACTGATCCCTAAATAATTTTCCACTGTCTCTTCATTTGCCACAGGGAATAAGCAAGTGCAGGTTTACTTTCTAGACTAAGTTTATCCTCAGCACTTAACATCACATGGTGGCAACAGAACTGCTTTCTACCTTTGCTTCAGGATGCTTCTACTCAAAGTTCAGATTCTCTTCTTGAATCCTCCTTAAGCTTAAAAGCAGTGCTTCAGAAATGAGTGTGTATATGCAGGTCATTGGAGACCTTGTGGGAAATGCAAAGCCATGTCTCTGAGCGGATCCCTTCAATGCTTCGAGGGATGCTGAGCAGCTGGGTCAGAGCACTGCGCACACAGGGATGTCCTCCTGAGATGGAGGGCACAGCCGAGATGCCTCGCTATAACTACTGTTGATAGTTGTTACAGCTGTCCTTTCAATCTCCAATAAGTAATCGCAAGGCATCTGCTTAGAAAAAAATTAATGGTTTCTTGACTGAACGACACTCACACACTTTAATTAGGAGAGAAATTGTTTTACAGCACCATCCAAACTAACTGCACACAAATCTTTTTCTTATAAAATAGGCATTTCCTGAAACGTTCTTGGAAATAACTGGACACTGGTTATAGTAACCAACTGGTAATGGTTCCCAAGGTTCAGCTCTGGGTCAGGTTGCAAGCTGTCATTTGGACCACTCAAAAGGCTTATGAGGAACATGTAAGAACAAGCATTTCTAGACTACTGCTCTGAGTGTAAATCAGTATAGTGGAATGATTCCAGTCAGGACTGGAATTTTGATATCTAAGGAGATACTGATATAAAACTGTATTGAGAATTACTGACCAGTGTCTTTTTAAAAGAATCATAGAAACTGAATATCTTATGTAGAGGTAAAAAAAAAATCACAAATTAAAATTTGTCTGTCAACACTCATGTTTAACTATGCTTTGGTACTAAAAAGAAATCTTGCTTTAGGAAAAATAATATATATTCAATCTATTTACTTGCCATAGAAGATCTGGGTTTGATGAACTACATTAGCATATGTGTGAACACAGGAACTAAAGCCATAGCATCAGTATTTGTTATGTACCACTTCAGGAGTTACTGGATTTGGTATTGCTGATGAAAACTTTGGACATAAAATAACAGTGTCATTTGGAAAAACAGGAAGCTAATTATGGAATCCATCAAAATTGTGGCCCAAATTCTCTTTGGTGCCTTTTGCTTACATATGTTTGTTACTTATAAATACAATTGCCTTAATTTAAAAAAAAAAACACCATAAAATTTTTGTCTGAGAGATTACCTAGTGAGCTTTCAAAATCAGTTTGCAAATGATTTTAAAAGGACAGAGTTTCAAAAGCTGAATGGATCAGGGACTTAGGGGTTAGGCTGGTACTTCTAAGCGGAGGAACACAACATGTGGTAAGATTCCTAGGCCCCTCTGACATCTGAGAGTAGGATGGTCCAAATGCCTGATGTTTCCACAGGACACCTATGGAGAAATGCGAAGGAATGCAGAAAGCAATGCTGAACATAAACATATCTAGAAATTTACCTACCAGGAATTATCTTGTCAGGTCCATTTCTGGAAGTTATTTCTGTGAATTCTCTTAATATTTTGGCAGCCTTCTTTGCTTCTGATTTCAGATTAGAAGGTATAGGGTTATTCACTGAAAGATTAAAAAACATATTTCAGAGGGGGGAAATATCTATTTTGAGAACGTATTTCAGTTTCATTTTTCTCTCACAATTAAGCATTTAAAGTCAAATGCTACCAAAGGGAATGACTTCCAGTCCTCTGTTTCCTTAAGTTGTAAAATCCTAAAGATAGCTAACACTCAAACTCTTCCCACTATGAAAACATGGGATCTTGGGATCCTAGGCAAAAGCTAGCTGGCCTTCTTTCCTAATTAAGTATATTTCCCCCAAAATTAAATCACTTTAGAATGAATAAAACAATTGAATTTGACATATATTGAATTAGATATATTCTCTAATTGTCATTAATGAATATCAAATTTGATACAATTGGCTTTTCTTGTCAGAAAATTTGAATATGGCTGGCTTGTCACAAGTAAAATTCTGGCATACTCAGAAATTGGGTTAGTATGCCCAGCAATATATGCCTGCTCTTACAGACCATTTTACATTCCCAGTGTAAATATCCCTTGGTATAGACAGTCTATTAAATGTTATCTGGGTGGCATTTCAATGCAGATTTCTCACATTCCTGGAAAAGCTGCAAACTTTGCTCATTTCTATCATCTCACCTTTTCATTGAAAATGGATTCTTTACTCATATAATGTATCCTGATTATGTTTTCTTCTCCCTCTACTCTTCCCCTGTTCCTTTCTGCTCCCCTCCCATCCAGATCTACTCCTTTCTGTATCTCAGGAAAAAAAAAAAAAAAACAACAACAAAAAAACCCCCAAACTTCTAATTAATAAGAAAGTAAAACAAAATAAAATATTAAACCAAAACTAGCACATCACAGTTGTAGAAAGAAACAAACAGGGAAAAGAGTCCAAAAGAAGACAGAAGAATCAGAGATACATTTGACCATCCATTCAGGAATTCCATTAAAACACTAAATGGAAGCAGAAACATATACACAGAAGATCTGGTGCAGATCCATGCAGGCGCTGTGCATGCTGCCTCAGTCTCTGTCAGTTCATATGAGCTTTGAGCATGTTAATTTAAATGCCCTCATTTTCTCGGTGTCCTCTATCCCGTCTGACTCTTACAAATCTTTCCACTTCCTCTTCCTTGAGTTCCCTATCCCTGAGGATGTTTCCTGGAGACATCCCATTTAGGACTGAGTGTTCCAAGGCCTTCTGCTCCCTGCACAATGTCTGTTGGTAGGTCTGTATATTTGTTCCCATCTGCTACAGAAGGAATTTTCTCTGATATTGGCTGAGCAAGGCACTGATCTATGAGTGTAGCAGGCAGAATGTCATTAGGAGTCAATTCATTTCTACTTCTTGGTGTCTGGTTCTTGGTCTCACAGGCAGTACTGGGTTATGGGTTCTGACTCGTGGAGTGAGCCTAAGTCAAATCAGATATTGTTTGGTCACTCCCACAGGCATTGTGCCACCACTGCCCTAGTGTGGTGAAGACAGGACACCACTGTAGATAAAAGGGTTGTGGCTATTTTGGTATTTATGTTTCTCTTTGGAAGTGTACATAATACCTTCCTGTACCAAAGATGCTGGAACACAGGAGAGAAAGCTCTCTGTAGGCACCAGCTCAACTACTCCAAGTTCAGTAAATTACACACATGTTGTCATCAAAAGGGGCCTTGCTGTCAGTTTATGGAGAGCAATTTAATGTCTTGGCAAAAGCTTGGGTATTTGGGGATTCCCATAGGACCTCTTTGGACAACAACTCAATTAGATGTAACTGAATCTTAGTACTGGAAACTTCATTTGGTGACAAGAGATGGTCAGTTGTGATTCTGTGAAGAGGAATTTTAATTCAGAACTTGGCTGCTCTGGCAATAGGTCACATCCAAAGATCTTCTAGAGCTGTATGATCCTGCTGAAATACAGACACACCTTTAATCCCAGGAGACAGAGGCAAACAGATCTTTGAGTTTAAAGCCAGCCTGGTATAGAGCAAGTTTCTGGTAAAGAAAACCTTAGGTCTAGGTGTGGTGGTATATGCCTTTAATCCCAGCACGCAGGAGACAGAGGCATGCAGCTCTCTGAGTTCTAGTCAGTTCTGTTCAGGCAGTTTGGTTGAGTCAGTGAATTCAGAGACAGTACAGTGGAGTTGTGTTTGTGGCAGTTCAGTTTGAGGAATTCAGAGGCAGTTTTACCAGGAGAGTTTTACAGAGATAGGTTGAAGAGGGAACAAGCTAGACACAGGTGAAGACAGAATATGCCAGAGAATGTGAAGGAGCCAGAAGAACATATTGCCAAAGTTAGTATGAGGCCAAGCAGAACAATTCCGTCAGAAATCAAGAGAGAAGCTGGATTCAATCAGTCAGCTTCTGAGGATTTTGAGCTACAACAGCTCAGTTGAACCATCCAGCAAGAGTTCAGAAAGAACAAGAAAGGGTGATCTTATTCAGCAGTACGTCTCAGAGGCTGAAAACATTCTAGGCCTAGATAAGCCTGTACGGAGGCTAGAAGCTTCCAGAAGTAGGCCTAGGTTAGCAGACAGAGGCAGTAAGCCTCCAAGATGACAATTACTTCAGAAGAATAAAAGTTACTTTTACACTGTGTATCCTCTATTATAAGTAGACTGTATTTAGATTACTTTTAGGTATATATTTTAGGAAGCTTCTACTGTATTTGGTTTCCATACAACCCCTCAAATGGCTCTTAATTTTAGTTGTTTCTCCCCTCCCCACCGGATCCTCCTGTTCCAGCCCTGTCCCCATCCATCCATAACTATGTATTCTGATTTTCTAATCACAACTATCTGTACCCTCAAGAGTCTTATTCTATACCTACCTGCTGTGGTTCTACAGATTGTAGCTTGCTTATCATTGACTTAATAACTAATATCCACATAAGAGAGAATACATGCCATATTTGTCTTTCTGGGTCTCAGATACCTCAGATGATTTTTTTTTCTAGTTCAATCCATTTATCTGAAAATCTCATAATGTCGTTTTTTAATAGCAAATAATATTCCACTGTGTAAATGTACCACTTTTTTTTTTTTTTTTTAATCCATTCACCTGTTGAGGGATAGGCTGTTTTTAATTTCTGGCTGTTACAAATACAGCAAGTATCTTTGTGGTACGATGAAGCATCCTTTGAGTATATGTCCAAAGCTGAATGCATAGCTGAATCTTAGAGTAGATCGATTCCCATCTTCCTGAGGAATTCCACACTGATTTCCATAGTGGCTGTATAAGTGTGCATTCCCACCAGCAGTGAATTGAGTGGTCCCCTTAATCTACAACTTCACCAGCATGAACTGTCACTTGTTTTATTGATCCTAGCCATTCTGGCAGGTTAAAGATGAAAATTCTCAAAATAGTTTTGATTTGCATTTCCCCAGTGGCTAAGGATTTTGAACATTTCTTTACATGTTTCTCAGCCACTTGGGTTTCCTCTATTGAGAATTCTGTTTAGATATACAATCCAGTTTTTAACTGGGTTATTTTGTTTTCTTGATATCTAGTTTTTGAGTTCTTCATGTATTTTGCTATTAGTCCTCTATAGGATGTAGCATTGGTAAAAAAAAAATAATAATAATAGTAATAATAATAATAATCTTTCCCCATTCTGTAGGCTGTCAGGTTACATGAATGCCAGTGTTCTTTGCTATGTGGAAGCATCTCAGTTTCATGAGGTTCTATTTATTGTTGATATTAGGGTCTGTGAGACATCCAGTTTGCACCATTTGTTGAAGACTATCTTAGGGTTTTACTGCTGTGAAGGGTTTATTTCCATTTAAGTTAATATTGGCTACGGGCTTGCTGTAAACTTTATTATGTTGAGGTATGTACTTTGTATCCCTAATTTCCCCAGAACTTTTATCATGAAGGAGTGTTGGATTTGTTAAAGCTCTTTTCTGCACCTATTGAGATGATCATGCAATTTGTTTCTTTCAGTTTGTGAAATTACACTTATCAATATGAACCATCCCTGCATCTCTGGGATGAAGCCTACTTGATCAGGTAGATGATTGTTTTGCTATATTCTTGGGTTTGGTTTGCAAGTATTCTATTGAGAATTTGTACATTTATGTTCATAAGGAATATTGGTCAATAATTCTTTGTTGGGACTTTACGTGGTTTGGGTATCAGGGTAACTGTGGCCTCATAAGGTGAATTGGGAGATGTTCCTTCTATTTCTATTTAGTAGAATAATTTGAGGAGGAGTGCGAGTAACTCTTCTTTGAAAGCCCGGCAGAATTCTGTGGTAAAGCAAGGCCCTTGGACTTTTTCGGTTGGGAGACATAATGTCTGCTTCTTTTAATATCATTAGAGGATATAGGTCTGCTTAAATTGCTTATCTGATCATAATTTAACTTTGGGAAATAATATCTATCAAGTATTCATTTCTTTTAGGTTCTCTATTTCAGTGAAGTACAGTTTTTTTTCCCCCTTTAAAGTATGACCTTATGGTTTTCTGGATTTCCTCGGTGTCTGTTATTATGTCCTTTTCATTTCTAATTTTGATATTTGCTCTCCACTCCTTAGTTAATTTGGATAAGGGTTTGTCAATATTATTTATTTCTCTTTGTTTTGTTGATTTTTTTTGTATTGTTCTCTTTGTTTCTGTTTTATTGATTTCATCCTGAATCTTATTTCTTGCTGTCTATTCCTTTTGGGTGTGATTTCTTCTTTTTGTTCTAGAGCTTTGAGGTGTTAAGTTGCTAATAAGAGATTGCTCCAATTATTTTATGTAGCCACCCAGAGTTATGACCTTTCCTCGCAAACAGACTTCATTGTGTTCCATGAGTTCAAGTATGTTGTGTATTCATTTTCATTCTAGAAAGTCTTTAATTTCTGTCGACCCATTTTTCAGTCAGTAGTGAGATGTCCAGTTTCCATGAGTCTGTAAACTTTCTTTTGTTTCTGCTATTGATAGACAGCTTTAATCACGGTGGTCTGATAGGATTTCCTGTACCCATGGAGACTTTCTTTGTATCTGAGTATATGGTCCATATACTCAGAAAGTTTGCTGAGGTGCTGAGAAGGTATATTCC